CTTTTACGCGAGTTATTTGCGAAAAAAAAAACTTTAGGGGGGATTGCATCAGGCATCACCCCCTTCCCCCTGTGCCGCGAGGATTAAAAATTCTTGTGAGCGAATTCACGTAATGAAGAAGAGTAAAAGCACAATTTACTACAGTAGCCAATAGATGACTTAGAACAGGCACATGGGACTAGTTAAATATTGTCCGACGGAAGCAGGCAACAGTTTCGATTGCATATATGCTATGCATTTTGCGGAAGAGGCACATTTCGGCCTCGAAAGATACGAATTTTTACGTCATAGAACATATTTTTGTCGTGGTCAATTTGCGCAAAAATTGAACACCGGGTGATTACCGAGCTATTGTTCTATCCAAATGTTCTGATTCAAACTCGCTCAGGGTTATCGTGCAGGTAAAGGGGGCCCGCTCAGCAGAATGTGTATGAAATATGGAGAGATTCTGAAAAATGGGTGGGGGGCCCGCACACTAGGGGGCCCGCTTTGGAGGCGATGACCCCCCCCCCCCGAAATGAAATCCTGGCTGCGCCACTGGCGTGAATTAACTAACCAGTTTGACTTTTCCAATCAACGGACTACTGCACGTTGCTCGGTTCTGTTCGTAAAAAAAAATACACTTGTATAAAAAGTTTGATATTTGTGCGCTTAGATTTAGCGCTTAAGTCAGTATCCGGATAACAAGGTCTGACAGCTTTGTGCTCACAGTAATTCAGAACTTGATGCTCGCATGCAATGCGCTGAAACCATGTAATCTAAGGGAAGTCTTAGAAGTTTTAAATTTCATGAGCTCCTTCTCATGCCTCTCATGAGCTTTATATCCAGGTATATTCTGTTGCCGATTGGAGAAAATATACTATATAATTAGTAGTTACTGTTTATTCTCTTCCTTTTGTCAGTGTCCCAATGTACTCTCATTTTTAAAACAACTTCACGATGCAACATTTTACGTTGATGACTTTTACATAACCTTCCTATTCATTGAAGGAAAACGTAGCACTTTTCCCGTCAATTTCAGCTTCACACTGTTTACTACGTAGCGCGCTGCCGAGCTTCCGTGGACTGAAGTAGCCCCTCCCTCCCGTCTGGTTCAAAGCTGGACCACATCCCAGGTTAACGCCCGAGCTGGGGCCTTAATGGATGGCCGGTGATTTCTCAGCGGTCGTCTCATTTCTCAAAACACAAGTTGCTCCTGGTCAGAGTTGTGTTCAAGTGGCTTAATTCGAGAAACTTTGGGAAAATCCGACTTCTGAGAAGAGCATTTTTGTGACATGGTCCGAAATTGCATCAGGTGTAGCCGGTAGAACAACTAAAATGTGATGAGTACCTATTATTGTCCCATCCGTTCGTTGCATACTTCTTTCATTGTCTTTTGTTTTGCTACACATCCATGCGAAGTGTGTTTCCATTACCGTCTACACCCAAATCACATTCGGCTCAATGCGGCGGCGTCTAGCCTATAGTAATCTCATCTGACATTTGAACAACGAACAAACATTTTGTTGATCAATCTGTGATTTCTGAAGTTCTGGTAATCCTTGGAGACTGATGGGTGCCTTCGATCCGGCAGACCATGACCCGCAATCAGTGATATTGGCTTCGGGAGCAGTCAGGGATGTATGTAAGGCTCTGATGCTTGTTCGGGCAGCCTCGTGGGACGGCTCAACTGGGGCTACTGCTTGCACATTGGGCTATATCCCCGGTTTACTGGTCATCAAGAAAGCCATTGATGGCTACGACCTGAGGCCTGTTTCACTAAAAACTTGCGATTACAAGTGTTTGAACTTTACAATTCATAAGCATTTTTGCAAACTATGTAAAATCGGATTTCACTAAACTTCATCACCAGCGGCACCTCCGATAAAAAGAGTTGGTAAATAAACTTGTAAACAGTAAAATTGTTTTTAATCAAGAACTATAACATGTTACAGATATTGCTTCTTTTTATCAAACTATGTCTAGTTTTCATGTCAGAAATTGCAGTAATAGATTAAAAATAATGATACTGTTTCTGAATGGTATAAATGATAGTTCACAATATCTTATTATTGAAAGAAAATAATACGTAAAACATTTGACAGCAGAAGACTGTTGAATGCAATTATAGCGCGCGAATGACAAAACATGACGATATTTATTTATTGCTCGTAGCTGGTTCGTAGGGAATGTGCTAAGTGAAAAAGAGCATATAATGACTCAGCATATCATATTTGTTTTAAATAATTGATTGCTTTGCATCATTGCACAAAAAGTAATAAAATTCCAAACGTAAGGGCCACTGGAATTTCGGGTTTGTAAGTACAACGTTTTCTTTCAAGTTTTTGTTCTTCGTGAAACAGAAAGTTTGCGATTTCGATGTTTCTTACAAACTTTTTTCTTGTAAAAAAGTTGGTAAATTTTAAACTCAAAATTCATGCCCGAAGGTTTCGTGTAATCCAAATTTCAAATGTTGGTAATTATTTCTTTTAAACTCAAGTTTTTCTTTGTAATTACAAACTTTATTTGTTAGTGAAACAGGCCTCAGGTGCTGGCGGCGACGGTCGGGTTGCGTGCGGCGGCGGCCGTCAGCGGTGGTAGGGGGTGATTGCTGAGAGTGGGCGTTATTGCTCCGTCGGTCGCGGTCAGCCAGTCGCGGTCACCGATCTGCGACGTAGAGCTGCCGTCCGCGACTGATCCGAACCTAACCTGCACCCACCGCCGGACGCCGGACACCGGTGCGCCAACCGTTATCGCTTCGACGGCAATATCAAACTCGGAGTTTGATGATAGCTTGGTCAATAAAATCGCAGGTTATGACGAACTGTGAAAATGGAACTTAAGAACTAAGTCGACTGGACAGTCGTTTCACACGTTGGGGAGCTCCACAGCATCTATATTGGAGGGGTTATCCACGACCGGCTCAGGAGAAATCCATAAATAAGGAACCGAGTCTCCACATCCAGCGACGAACATCGATTTTCGACCAACTCTTGCTATCACGAATGGTTGTCTCGCCAATAGACATCCATAGAACACCGGATCCGGTCCCGAAGAGACGACATTGGGAGTTTATAACCGGCCTCCTAGTATCAGCCCACTGTATCAGTCGTATCCTGTACCCGTATTTTGCAGGGGAGAGCGCCACGCCATAGATCCGACCATTGCTGTTTGAATGGCGCCTGGTATGGGGTGATTTCCTTCGTCGTTGTAAACGAGCTCACATTGAGCGTATGTACATTTTCGATCAGAGCGGAGGCACACTTCAAGTACCCTCACAGTGCTTCATGGGTTATTCGACGATGGGTAGTCTTGATAATCAGATGGTGACAAAATTGTAGCGCGCAAATGCCCACAGAAGAGCCTGCTGCGGTAGGGCCTCCCCGGCGAAAAGTACATCCAAAGCTAGTGGTTTTCGGTGTAGTTTTAATAGCAGCTACGACTCTTTGTGGCTCCTGGTTTGGAGACTTTTCACCCAGCACGTCAGCTAAATGGCTGGTTATGGCTTGATGGAGCTGGATGACTTTGCAAACCGCACAAAACTTCAACAGTTGAGAAGTATGATTTCATGGCCGTCCCAAGCGTCCCAAGTCCCTGACGCGTAATATTTGTAAAAGCTGCGATACTGCCAGGCAAAGTTAAGACACAATCCTTCAGAATCCTCAGCTGGGTGATTTAATTGCTTAAAGTTAATTAATGATTTCACATTTGCTTCATTAATTAATAAGTGCTGTATTGATGTAGTCCGTACCTTCGCAGCAACAAATCATAAATCTATCACATAACTAATCTCTTACAGGAACAACAAATTTTACATAAGTGGGGAAAATGAAATCATTTGAATGTTGATACTGTTATCTCGGAATAAATATTGTTTTAGCCATAGCAAACAAACTATGAACTTTAGAACATTGTTCAAAAAGATGCGTTGGGTGCATTCGCTTCGCAAGCTACACTGTAGGTGTATACTTCAATACATCAAAATGAGTGTGGCGTACTTATGGCGTACTTACAATGAAATTGGTCTTCCTAATAGATATTCAAACCCAGATAGTGATAAGTGATAGTTGTTTCATATTTCATCTCTCCCATGGTGCAATTGTTGTCCCACAAGTATGCCTCATTTCTACAGTAACCTTTATAAGTTCCAATGGAAACATTCAGGCACCTTGCAGTCTATTTCGTGCCAGTGTCGCATGCAAGAATTGACTTAGACCTCGACTGTTGGCATCTGGAGGAGTCGCATTACGCCGCAGGCCCTGAGCTACTTAGCGATCGGATTAGTTAGCGAATGAAACGGTACCGTGGTGATAGCTGATGTCAGGCCAACCCGTCACTTCTTGTGCGCTGTTAACTTGATGAATTGAGAATTTTAAATGATGGAAATTACGATCAAATGGTGCGGCTGTTGATGTATAGGTCGGCATCCAACGAGCGTAAAGACATATTCTACTATTATGCGTACTAGAGTAAAAGCTAACCCTAGTACGCGCCTCTGGTGTTGGCGTTGTTGTAATAGACTGATCGTCAGGTGACGTGACGAAACTTCCAATTTCGGGGATCGATTACAGCGAGTTACCTACGTAACTCCGCAAGTGTTTACCGACCACTGGAGAGCGCGCGGGCGAGCGACGGTGTACGACCGACGAGCCTCTATACGGTGGTTGAATCGGACACCATGCCTCCCCTATCCCCTGACGTCTGTATAGGTGACTGGAACTATTCAGCAACTGCTTCTGAGACGCGCTATAAAGGGAATTATTTTAGCCAGCGTTGGTAATTTACGTAAGAGATGAATTTCATTGCATATAACTCACTTCCCAGGTCAGATTAAACAGCTTGGATTTATTTGCAAAGCTGAACAGACGTTTCTTTGTAAAGACTTTCCCGGCGTCGACTTCAGTTCAGCTAGTTGCTAAGCTGTGATGCTTACCATATTCAAACAGCCATTCATTAACTTCCCCTGTGTAGTACATCGGTAGCGACACGACCCAGCTCACTCCCCCTCGTTTCCACAGGAGATCTGAACAGCGACATGGACCGTGCCCAGGCGCTGACGGTGCCCGAATTTGACGTACATCAGTCCCCCAACGTCACTGCCCGGGTGAACGGGTCGGCTCTGCTCACTTGCCGCATACGGAACGTCGGCAGCCGACAGGTAGTAAGTGTCGCTAGTCAGTGTCTGCCTATCCCTCCTCCACCCCCCCCCCCCCCCCTGCCCCCGGCAGCCGACAGGTAGTAAGTGTGAAGTGTCGCTAGTCAGTGTCTGCGCTGGTAGTAAATGTCGCTAGTCAGTGTAATGCCTGCCACCACCACCCCCCACCGCCCCCCCCCCCCACCCCCAGCAGCCGACAGGTGGTAAGTGTCGCTAGTCAGTGTAATGCCTGCCACCCCTTCTCCCCCTCCAGCAGCCAAGTGTCGCTAGTCAGTGTAATGCCTGCCACACCCCCCCCTCCCCCCAGCAGCCGACATGTAGTAAGTGTCGCTAGTCAGTGTAACGCCTGCCACCCCCCCCCCCCCCAGCAGCCGACAGGTGGTAAGTGTCGCTAGTCAGTGTAATGCCTGCCACCCCCTCTCCCCCTGCAGCAGCCAAGTGTCGCTAGTCAGTGTAATGCCTGCAACCCCCCCCCCCCCCCAGCAGCCGACTTGTAGTAAGAGTCGCTAGTCAGTGTAATGCCTGCCACCCCCTCTCCTCCTGGTAGCCGACAGGTAGTAAGTGTCGCTAGTCAATCAAGTCAGTGTGTAATGCCTGCCACCCCCCCCCCTCCCCCAGCAGCCGACAGGTAGTAAGTGCAGGGGCGGATCCAGAAAATCTCCAAGGGAGGGGCCATTAGAAACCAGGAGGCCCCCCCCCATAATCCCACCTGTTGGATGCCCCATCTTCCCACTTGTTGCCCCCCCCCCCCAAAAAAAAACTGCGTCTATTGAGCTTATCTAGCTGTTCAGGCAACATTTCAACATCTGTGCAGGCTTGGAGGCCCTCTGTGCAGGTTAGGAGGCCCTGTAAAAGTGGTCATCTCTGTGAGTATAAGAGACCTCCAAGTTATGAAAAGCTTTACCAATCTTCTAACAAAGAAGTCTTCTCAGCTAGTCTTCTAAGAAATAACTAAGTGGGTAGGTTAAAAAAAAAACTCATCGGATTTCGGCCACTTTATTTTCAGGAGGCCCCCTTTTCAGCTTTTTAACTTTTTAACTTTTTATTTTATTTTTGAAAAAAATCGGCCAAGGGGGGGGGCCATGGCCCCCATGGCCCCCCCCTTGTATCCGCGCCTGAGTATAGTGTCGCTAGCCAGTGTAATGCCTGCCACCCCCCCCCCCCCCCTCCAGCAGCCGACAGGTAGTAAATTGAAGTTTCAGCATTTTTTGTATTGTATGAGCTCACAGTTGAGAAGTGTTCACAATTCAACGTTTTTATCACGAGAGTTTGCATACTGAAAAGTGATTATCTTGACGGTATGGCTTAAATAAACCACTCCTGAAATGACAGCTTCATTTTATCCTCATATGATTGAACCGCACGTTCGATTTGCCCTCCTGAGGCAAAGGAACACTCGAAACGCTCTTAATTTTTTATCAACGACCAACGAGGCCTTTGCATGTAGGCCTATACCCACATGATCTTCTGATATGGTTGACTGTTTGTGACGTCATATGAGCTCTTCTGGCACGCCATGGTACCCCACTTTGCTGGACAACACTAATCTGCCATGTTAAGTGTTGACTGTTCGTTGGCATGCGAAAGTTTCAGTGTCGGTAAATGTATTCTCCAGCGCCATTAAATCTGACACGGGAACCAGGCATTAGCTTCCGATAGTCTGGCAATTATGAACAATTCATGGGAGCAAGGGCAACGTAGAGCCTAGTCCGGTGCCATCCAAACGTCCCAAGTTGCAGAACAAACAGCGAAATTAGCTCGACAGTTGGAAAGAGGAAGGCGATGTGTGATGAGTTATGCACAGTGAAGAGTGGACTCAATTGCACTTTCCTTTTAATTACCGCTCCCATTGTTGCTTTAGCAAAGTGCTCTTATCCAGCGGTAATGAGTGCCACTTATCATCGAAGCTATATTTAGTTATATCAGATTTCTGTGAGTGTTCACAATTGCTTTGACTTTTGTAAATGTTACAGCGTTCATAGTTATTATTTTTGAAAACATTATTTGCTTTGCATTAGGCATATTTTTATCTTTAAGCATCACTTTAACATTTTTTGAGTGGTGAATCACGACTTAGGACAGCATGGGCAATCTGTCATGGCAGACATAACTGACAAATGTAGTTTGAAATGACAAAACAAACATATTTCAGCATGCGAATAGTAGGCTAAAGGTGCTTTATCTGCATCATCAACTAAGAAAGAGCAGCTCCCTTCCCGGCTAAATGAGAAATGCAATTCAGAAAATAAGAAAAGAAAAGTAAGAGGAGGATAGATCATAGATCACATGTTAAACCGTACATCATTATTCCAATAATCTCATCTTTTTGCAATTGGTTACCGCAAATGTCCAAAAGATTTGCCGTAATGCATTTCACAGCGGCTTTACTATGATAATGTATTCATATATGCCCACCACTTGGCAGAAGTCGTTATCTTCTGCGGCCGGACGGCTGTGAATCTATACCAGTCCCCAGCATGCCATGAATTTGGTCAATCTGTGAGACCTCTGCCCGGCGAAGTTTATGGTGGTCCCCTGAGCGCCACTTGGAGGCTCTTTTATATTTGCGGTAATGTCGCCTGGTCGCTGTGTCTGCGATATGCTCTTCGAAGACATCCTACAAGCAATAGAAGTAGTTTCTAGCGAAAATAAAATGGCAGCTACAGTAACAGCTGAGCTCATTTTTGTACCCCACGAGCCATTATGTCAAACGATTTCCAAATGGGATGCTCTAAAATTATTCCTTTTGAAATGTATTCATTATTTCTTCATCTTTATGGAGGTCTTCGTGTAAATGTGTCTCAGTAAAATTCTGTCGAAATACATAGGTGTTCGCACAATTTGCAGCAGCGGTGTGCTATCTCTCACTGTCTGACACAGACGGATTTACATAATTTCATTTCGAATGAGCCGAAATACGCCCATGATCAGACGTCTTAGAAGCCCGCTCTGTGCGGTCTATGCATGCAGCCCATATTTTGCGGCCGAGATTAAAGAGGATTTCAATACAATAGAATTCAGCTGGCTGCTCCAGATCCTTTTCATTCGAACTTAGCCCATAGTCTCTCAAAGTCTTGATGTTATTAGCATACATTCGTTTCAGGCGAATCTTGACAGCCTGTAAATAGGCAACTGGCAAGTGAAAGTGATATGAAATCGAAATGCAAATTATCAAATGTCAAATATGCTCAAAAAATAAAAGTTGGATTCTTTTTCAAACATTGGGTGCATTGTTAACATATCAAAGCTATAACGTAAGCATGTTGAAGTTTTTAGGATTAAAAAAAACTTCAGAAATGCGTTATAACTATCCAGGATACTTTGTGACAAGCATGCAGGACGGCCGTCAGCGGAGCCTCAGTTCTGAGATAAGGCGTAGCTCAATTATAAATTGATACGTTTCATGCCCATTATATTGTACGTACATAAAGTTCTCCCCACCTGCGATCATTGAACAGTACAATTCTGTGCCGCAGGGTCGCTCGCACCTCTCTGAATGATTAAGCCTATTTCAATTTGCATATATGCAGTTATACATATGTATAAGATAGGTACGTACCACACCGATCAAGCCTCAGAACGAGAATCCAGACCCAGCGGTGGATCATACCAAGGTCAGATCGGTCACGTGACCCAGCACCGACCAATCACACCGCGCCAGTCACGCAGCGGCCGATCCCATCAGAGAAGGGCCGTTCTGCGCGCAGATGATCACGCGACCGGCGACACGCAGCAGGGCCATTCCACGAGTGGACAACAATCTCCGACTACCTATACCTATAACAGCCATCCTTCTCGCCTCATCGCACTCGTGTCATAATATTCTGACCTCCACCAGTGCAGCTTGAAGCCACTCACTGCATGCATACCTACATACAATGACCTTCAATCACCTCCCTCAAGCATTGCATGTGGGTCACTCGCTGGATGTAATAACCCTCTGACCTCTTCCCTAAGTATTGTGGGGTCGTTTGCTGCTCAATTAAGTACCTATTGTAAGTACATATAGGTCAACCTTTTGATAGTCACATTTATCCTTCACTGCACAAGGTGAAACACTTCCACCAGATACTGTGGGCATAGGTGGCGGAAAGGGGAGGGCACCGGGGCACCGTGCCCCCTTTGATTTAGGTATTTCAGCATTAGCCCTATGGGCGTTGCATGGAAAGAATGGAACCAAAAGTCGGCAGTGCCCCCCCCCCCCCTAATTGAAGGTGTTCCGCCGCTGTGCCTTTGCTGCATAACATGTCCCTTTGAATTCACTTCCGCCATGCACCGTGGGCCGTCTAACTACACATCCTGACCTTCCAACCATCCGTCAGGGTATAGGGGCCCCGCTGTGTGTAATGATCTTATGACCTCCCTTAGGTATTGTGGGGCCGCTCGCTGATATCATGTACCGCTCTCTACGTATGTTTGTATGTACATTGTATAATGACCTCCTGAACTTCTGTTAGGTATCGTGCTGAGGCCACTCGTTGTGTGTAATGACCTTATGACCTCCCCAGGTATCATGGAGCCGATCGCTGTGTGTAATGACCTCATGACCTCCCCTAGGTATCGTGGGGCCGCTCACTGTGTGTAATGACCTCATGACCTCCGTCAGGTATCGTGGGGCCGCTCGCTGGAGCTGCTCACCACCGGGCAGATCGTGTTCGCCGGTGACGGTCGGTTCGAGCCGCTGCACCAGCCGCACTCGGAGGACTGGGCGCTGCGGGTGCTGGCCGTGCAGCCGCAGGACGCCGGCCGGTACTTCTGCCAAGTCAGCACCACCCCGCCCGTCACACACTTCATCCATCTGTCGGTGGTTGGTGAGTGAATGTAGAGTAACTTAGTGGTCACCCGACTATATGGAAAACATAGCCCGGTGAAGGACTGCTCCGGCTGTTTTTCAATAGAAAAACACAATTCTAACGAATAGTGTTTGTCTATTTCAAACCTGCGGTTATATGGGGGGTGTGAGGTATTCATAGAAGTTAGTTGGTCTTGGTTGACCCCTTGCCTACCCAGCTGTCACTCAGCTGGTCACCTGGCCACCCATGTGGTCATTTGATATGGTTGGCTTCAGCAGATAGTAGACACACACCTAACTGCGACCAGAATGTTTGTAAACATTCTGTTATTCATGCAATTCTGGGATGTGATGTGGCTGCCAAATGTTTTTGTTTGTCTACTCTTGTCTGCAATTTAAGGGCACAAACTGAAAACCTATGAATAAATTATCGTTAAAACATAGAGGCCTGACATAAAGGCTGCAGTGAGTCATCGAACAGTATAGTCCACTGCACTGGGGAAATCTCGGCCCATTTGCAGCCAGTCAGTGGATGTGCTGCCACCTACACTGGCTGTCGTGCTGCTCTCTACAGAAATCGATGGACCGCTTCAGAGTTGTTCTGTGTACGGTAGCGCCACCTAAGCTGGGCTTCCGAAATTGGCAGGGATACACAGTGAGGACACACTGCCACTGCAAGCAGAAATATACACAAACCTTTGGTCCATTAGAAATTTGGTACAAATTTGAAAACATAAGGTCATGCATTTTGTGGGTAACATGGTGAAAGCTCCCACCTCCCGAGATATGGTGGCAGACACAATTAGTAATTACCTAAAGCTGTTCTTCATTTGGCTAGAGATTTGCTGATCCGAGCATATCATCTAAAAACAACAATCTTTTCTGTTTCGATCCTCTTCCATCGCCTCTACAGACACGTAGCCAGAGCTTTTCTGCGGAAAAATAATTTCTCTGGGATTGGCTAAATTACATTTAAGCTGTGCTGCCTTTTATCATTTTGTTACAAAATGGCAAAACATGGCACTGCACTATGTGCATTGACAAATAAACTAAAGTATACACTATACTACCAATAAAACGTCGCTCCGCTCATACTCAGAAATTTCTGCTATTCTACGGACTTCGCTCGCTCAGCTCGCTCGTAATAAATAGCCGCCTTTGAAACAGGTGAATGCTGTTACATAAGCAATTTTCCAGAGTACCCCCTACACACAGCCCCCTGGCCCTTACTAAAGCACCCGTATTGAGCATTTGCGAGTCGCGACCCATCCATTGGCTATAATTATATGTCCCTGCGATGTACAGTAGGTCTATTAAAAAAGTCCCCAGCACCAGTGGGCGCTGCCTTCGCTGAGCCGAACCCCCGTCTGCCTGTCCCATATCGCGCCGGGCTCAGGTCAGGTAGGGTCAGCGGGACCGCTCGGTCCGGCCCACGGGCGGTGGATGGGCGGCCGGTAACGCTTTCCGCCAGCCACCTGAATAATCCAACAAACGGGACGGCTACCGCTCAGCGCAGCGAAACCGGTGTTTAAGAATGGCAGTAGATGTTCATGGCCACAATGATTCAAATAGAGATAGTCATTGTTAGCCCGTGCCCCACAGGAATGCCTAGACTCTAACGCCCTGTTGGAGGGGAAATGGGGATTGAGCATCATTCTTATAACTCAGCTTTGGGCATTTAAGTGGCATTCGAAGCAGCGTCAAAAGTAGCAAAAAGAAGAAGAAAAATACTTCAGCCAATTTAAGATCGGGTCAGAACCAGAGGTCATGTCACCAGAGGTCATCGGTGATAAAATTTTGCTTGGTCAGGGTGCGTTGCGCGCACCGGTGCATTGGGTTTCCAATTTCCATGGAAACATCAACAGACTCGGAAGCTCGCAACGCTAGCGTGGAGCCGAATTCATATCAACCGCCGCAACAATGCAGCAGCGCAGCGCAGCGTGCTGCAGCGTTGGGCCGTGAAACACCGCCCAGGGCTATCCATGTGTCAGGGCAATCCAACCCACGTGATGGGCTCGGCCCTAGCGGAGCATGAGGTCCAGGACTCCCGCCCAGGCCCCCTGTCTCCCCCTAATTCCTGTCATCCTTCCCACTCTGAAATCGACCGAGCCAAACCTAACACAACAATCAGCTCGTTTACCGCTATGTCTGAATAATATTGTCGGATTTTATTAAGGTGAACGGCTTAGCACGTAAATAACAGCAACTGCCACCATCGGCATTATGAGAAAACCAATTGCTTTTCCACAAACACTTACAAGTTTTTAGCTTAAAACTTACTCGAAATTAATTTTACCAGCCTCGTGTTCCTCTTATCAAAACGCTTCGAATGAATCAAAAGTTAATCTTTAAAGGTCATTTGAAAAATTTGGCCCATGTTCAAAGACATGACCTGACCAGAAATGGTCATGATGCATAGCAGGATATTAGATCCGTATCGTGGAACTTTACAAACACTTCAGATGATTTCATAACTTAAGCATGTCTATCAAAAATAATTATTACATGGCTCATATGTAGGCTGGGTGTGTGATCATGCTTACGAGTATGTTGAACGCAACTGATAATTTTCTGTAGGCCACAATTTCTATATTTAATTTATCCTCCCGGATTTCATATTTTTTATTAATGACACCTTGACGATGTAGAAAAAAACGCTTAGGAGATTTAACAGCCTGAAATACATTCAGTATAAGGAAGGGTCAAGGGTGCTAGATTCCTTCCGTCCTCGCACGGCTATCCTCAGGAAAAAAAAAACAATCCGCATCGCCCCTAGTCTTCATGCTTCCCTCTCTGGACTGGAGGTCACCCCACCAGCCAACCTGTAGTTGATGTCGGATCAATTCCAGGCAGAAATGTGCATGGATCCGAGTGATGGATCTATCTCAGTGGATCTCGAGGCAAATTGCAGGTTCGGATCTATGATCCTACAGAATCCGGCGTGAAAAAGTATCCTGGATCTATGATCTCACAGGATCTGACGATAAACCAACAACATGGATCTTTGATCTGAGTGGATCCCACCATGCATAACATTTGGAACCAGGTTTCCAAGTGTTTCTATGTCAATAAGTGCCATAAAACTATATGTATTATGACGTGTTATCACATTAAATCACTAAATAAGAACGTTTGTGAGTTGCAACGAGTGATCTTTGGGATTTCTGTGTTGACCAAAAATAAATGAGGATCTGTGATCCCACTGGATCTCAAGCAAAAATACTAGACTCGGATCTATGATCCCTACGGATCTCTTAAAGAGCTGGATCTATGATCCCCACGGATCCGAGATCAGGATCCGTGGGATCAGATCCCAGATCCATTTTCTCGGATCCATGCACATGTCTGATTCCAGGACAAATAATCCTCTTCGTGGTGACGGTTTGGGAGACGGCTGGACCGTCCCGACAGAGCAATCGTCCCACGGGAACAGTCTCGCTTTCGCAAATCACTGTCGCTGGCTCGCACAACCTAATTACTACACCAGAGCATAGTTATGTCATAGCTCTGAGGGCCTTTTCAGATCGAAAAAGATGGCTCCCAACAAAACAAACAATTTTCTCATTTAGTATTGTATCTCATCAAACACCACATGTTTTCAGAGTGTTTATTATGCGTTCCGTCCAAAAAAGCGCAGTTCAATTTTCTCCCATGACTTGAACGATCTCAAAATTGACCCGACCTTTCTGTCAACAATGTCAAACTTGCAAAGTAAACGTTTCAAATACATAGGTATAGTGTTGCCCATTGAAATCGCTGAAAGTTCTAAAGCGATCGGTTAGTCGGTGTATTTAGATTGATGAGCACAGGAACTTTCCTTGAGGTAAGGTCACTTGACGTGACCTGGTGTCAGGGCTGCGGAGTCGATGGATTTACGGCGACTCCGACTCCGACTCCGACTCCGGCTTTCAAAAACCAACTCCGACTCCGACTCCGGGCAGAAATGTCGACTCCGATCGACTCCAACTCCCGACTCCGACTCCGCACACCTGGCAGGGCTGCGGAGTCGACAGATTTTCGGTGACTCCGACTCCGACTCCGGCTGGGGTTTCCAATATCGACTCCGACTCCGACTCCGACTCCGGTCACAACCGCCGACTCCGACCGACTCCGACTCCGACTCCGCAGCCCTGCCTGGTGTTATGACCTTGAATTGAAAGACTTGGGCGGGAAAAAATGGTTCATTCTTGGTTCAAATGGTTCAAATGTCATCTTAAAATGCTAGATTTTAACAATAATTGCTAACACTATCCCGGCCAAATAGTGAGTGAGAAGGGAACGATCCCCCGACCCCCACAAATATTGTCGCATTATCGTCCTTTCGGTACAATCGTGTTTTCTGTTCTCAGACACGTCGATTTACATGCTTTTTTGTTTAGGTGAAGAAATTTAGAATGTTTACCTGAGGTCAATGTCATGTTAGAGCAACACAGGTCACGAAGCTGTTGAAAGGAGGACATGTTGCATAACATTTGATTCGGCAAGTCTTGCAAAGTCCATTGATGGCTGTCCCGACTGGCTAGCTCATTTTGATCGGGAGTTATTGACGAAGCACTCCTATCAATGACGTCACGCAAGGTGAACAATGCAAAAGTGAAGCATTAGACCTTGCCAAGAATGTATGAAGTCACGATTTGAAGTGCTTGAGAGTTAAGGTATAATTTTAGATCATTTCCGACGCCAAGATTAACAGTTTCCATATTTCCCCATTATGCTTATATGACACTAAGTGCATTGCGGATTTGCATCATTTTATAACCGACAACCGTGCAGAGGTTTACTTAAGACGCCATGGTTAAGTGACCTGACCTGAAAACGTAGTTGATGTCAAATGATCCGGCTTGAATCAAATGCAAGGCATATGAAATGTCAGCCTTCTATCATCAGTGTGCTTTGAGCTACCGCAAAAAAAATACAGGGTGGCGGCATTCACCCCTTCTTCTCGGCCGGCGAGGGTTAAACCTCGCTTCGAATTATTGCAGATAATGATGCGACCGAAAACAAAGCATTTATCTGTGT